TGCCTGACGTTTGCTAATACCCTGCATTCGTGCCCCACTTTATCCCATCAACGTGCAAGCACTGTGGCAGGAGCAGGCCACTCGGCATCCATCATTTTCTCTCAACTGCAGGTCCGCATCCTGTTCTAAGCCTCCCTTGGAGCACTGATTGTCTCCAGTTCTGCATGTGGTCTGAGCGTTCCTAGGAGACCAGCAACTCAAACCTTTCAAGTTTAAGATCAAGATGTTCCCAGGATCAGTACCAATCCGTGAACGCCAAGTGTTAATACGAGTAAAGAAATAGGTACCCAAGTCTTCAATGACAGGATTACAAACTACAGGCTCAAGGCTTGCTTCAAATTTCAAGTGCTTGGGGCTTCCCTGGTGGCGCAGTGGTTGAGAGTTCGCCTGCCGATGCAGGGGACGCGGGTTCGTGCCCCAGTCCGGGAAGATCCCACATGCCGCGGAGCGGCTGGGCCCGTGAGCCATGGCCGCTGAGCCTGCGCATCTGGAGCCTGTGCTCCGCAATGGGAGAGGCCACAACAGTGAGAAGCCTGCGTACCGCAAAAAAAAAAAAAAAAAAAAATTTCAAGTGCTTGAGCTCTGAGTCGCCGGGTCCTTTGTAAATTTATTATGAGGTCTAGAGCAGGATGAAATTGGAGATGAATGATGGTTGTGCGGCCAGCGTGACGTAAAGCTGGGTGTGACCCTTCCTGCATCTGAGCTGCTTGCTACAGGTCCACTGTTGGGAGCAAAGGGGGAGCCGGAAACCCATGGTACTCACAGGACCTTTGGTGAAACAGAAAATGCATCCACAGCATTCAGTGGCTATTAGGACATTTATGATACTCCAGAGCAATAAAAATATATTCCATTTATGAAGAAGAGGGAGAAGAACCCAGAACAAAAGAAAATAGACCATTACATTTTGAGACGTTCCCTCCCTGATGCTGTCTACCTTTCTGGTGGTGGCGAGGTCCAACCTCAGCTACTGGTTGGTTGCTCGTATTTTCAAGGGGGTTCTCTCCTGAGGAGCACCTTCCACTCCATTTTATGAGGGGAAATACTGGCTCTGGAGAAGCAGGTGTGAGAATGAAACAAAAAACTCGTGCTATTCTCAGAGAGGAAGAGCTGTTTCACCACAACCCCTCACCACACCAACTGAGATGGCAAAAAGATCCCTTCTCACACAGTGCTGTTCTCAAAACCCCCAGCAATCACTTGTTTATGTTTCTTTCAACAGATTTTGCCCATCATCTGTTTTAGAACACTTAATTTTAGGGGATTCATTTAGTAGTTTTTTTTTTATTATTACAACAAATAACTAGCTATCTCTATCAAGGTTTATGTCATTTTCATACAAGCAACTTGGAGGAGTAAAACTATGCTTAGAAATACGGCTTTCAAAGGATCAATTACATGAAAATAACATTATATAACAATCTATCAGACCCTCGGCACCTTTGTTTTCCCTTCAATCATAAGAATTTCTAAAATTTAAAACTTTGTTGCGTCTTTCAACAAGCCCTTCATTTAAAAGAACAGCCTATATAATTTCCAGGAAAGCAAGTTTGCTGACTAATCTGAAAAGCTGGAAGTTGTGAAGTTGTTTTTTATTCTATGCCCCAAAGAGATACGCGTAAATCCAAAAAGGTACACTGCTCAGAGCGTGTTAGTAGAATTTCATGAGGGAAGGGTAGAAAGGCACCCACACACCATCCTAGAATACATCTGGTTAATTTAGCCTCCACTTGATTAAACATCAGTAGAATAAATTGCATCTGTAGGGAGCCTGACGAGGGTTGGATCATGACCTGCTTGTACTCCTGTGATTCAGTGAGGCGTTCCATACCGGCCAAGAGAAGTGAAGGGCCAGTGACCTACCTCCAAGAATAGAAGGGTATTTTCCTTGACTGTCTACACCCATCAGATCCACTACATAGTTCTTCCACACACCACCATGTGAAGGGTCCCAACCTCCCTGATTCAGAAGCCAGATGAGACTCAGAGAGGGGAACTTCAGTGCCCACGCTTCCCTTCCTCTTTGATCTCTTAAAGACTGTGGGCAGTTAGATTGGCCCCAAAGCCAGTAGTTTTGTTTGCATTTATTCTAGCACATTGCTTATCCCCACAGCCTAGAAAAGAACATGGCACATGGCAGTGGCTCAATAAGTATTTTTTGACAGGATGTCTTTTCACCCTAAAACCATGATGTATGCAGCCTACTTGGAGGAGGCCCAGCTCTGCCTTAAAAGCTGCTATTACGGTATGAAACGTGACTCCATGCTTGCCACCAAACCACAAAGAACCATACACTGTCCTCCAGAGGGCCATCTGGGTCTGGAAAGAAATCCTATCAAGGTTTAAATGACTGAAAATCAGCCCCACAGACTGGCTGGAAGAATTCTGCCTCAGTCTACAATTCAACTCATGCATCTTGGGTTTCTCGTTTGCCCTCTAACTGGAATTCAGGCAGGATGTGCTCCAGCTCTTGACAGCGACTGAGTCAGGGCTCCTCCATTCTTCCCTGGGTTTGCCTTGCGGGGAGTTAGAAACCCAGATTCAGTACCAATACTGGTAGCTTGTTCTGACCAATCCTGATTCTCAGAATTCTCATTGTTCCTGTTTCATGAAAAACTGCCAATTTCATCCTCTGCTCTTTGGCTTATTTGTGTAATTTTCTATCTGCGGCCCAGGCCTAACAGTTGAAGCGCTCCCAAGTGTTCTTTTGGAGACACTTTTTGTGTTTTATCCTCTTGACCTAAGTGGTCAGTTTATCTATTTTATCCCTGACCTAAGTGGTCAGTTTATCTATTTTTTTTTAATTACAAAGGGAGTGATGTTTTAAATGTACAAGTTAAAAAATATATATATACACAGAAAAAATTTTAGCAAATAATTTTTTTAATGACCCTTCTCTGTTCCTCCCACTGCTACCAGAAGGAATAGATTTAAATAATGAGTGACTGTCAGTTAGGCCAGAAATCACAGGTTAAGACTGAGAACAGGAGTGGAGTGATCCTTGACCATCAGGTTATTAGATCTGGTTTCCGGAGGGTGGGGGGGCCGTGGTGGAATCCTCGCTGCAGTCCAGAACCTAACCTGCTAGAAGGGAGGTGACTTAATGTGACCCAATACACTGTGAGGCATGGATTATCAGAAATCTGATAGCAGTGTCCTGTGCCCCAATTAGACAGGAAGCTAAGTACTACTGGGGAAGACGAAGCTGATAGCTGCAACCTAGTCCTTCTTCAGAATCACATGCTAATTCTATGGCCCCAGTTAAGCAGAGGCATGAGTCATTCCCAGAATCAAAGACACAAATTATCTAGAGCAGCAGGCTTGAAACTCACCATGCGCAGATAACCGGGGGCCTCTCCTTAGTCACAATCTGCAAGGTATAGGCTGCAGAAGACATGGATATTTTCCCTGTCCATTTCTTCATAGTTTCTTCTGGCTTTCTACATCATTCCTACATATTTCTTCATAATACTTGGCATCTTTTGGACACGCACCATCTACATAAGCCTACATAATAAATCCAATGGAAAACCAGACTTGTGCCATTAATTTGCAAAACAAAAGCTAGTTTCCCATGATATGGGGATGCTCTCATCCTCAAGAAAAAGGTCTCTTTTCCAGCCTGTCACCAGGGGAACTGAGAGTTTAGCTTCTCAACAACAAACAAAGCAAGGCGTCCTCTTTGATGATTGCTACCATTATCATCTGGAAACATCTGTTTTCACAATTCTTAAATCAATGTATATCCTGATCCCAACTTCCAAATCTGTGAAGTAAAAAGTAAACAAATGAGTTGATACAAAAAATGGCAAGTGTGTTCCGACACTAAATCCAGAGCCACTTAAATACATAAGATCATAAAGGGAACAATTACCCCAACCTATGTCCCCGAACCAGGGAATGAGTGCAGCCAGGGACAGAGTGACAAAAAGGACTGTCCCTGAGTAACAAGGTCATTCCCTCCGGCACCATAGCCAGAGGGTTAGTCACCGTGTTTTTATCTCTGGCCCAGAAACAGGACACACAAAGAGAGAGCTGCAGTTTCAGTATCTACTTTCCAGCAGCAGGGGCTACCTTCGCTTAGAAGCCTTTCCTGGGGAGTTGCTCACACATCAACAATATGAGGCCAAAGCTTAGACCTGGAGGAGAAGGCATTGAGACACGAAGTGTCAGGATGGAAAAGCTGCTTTGGAGTATGCCAGTGATCCTAGTCTATGCCATGCCCCACCTCCTTGTGCTGGTGGGGACTTCAGCGTGATGGGCCAACAGCAGGGAGGGGAGAGATGAATACTCCAGCAGACCACTGATATGATCTGCCCACTCACAGCTGAGATGTCCCACATGAATTCTGAGAGCACAGCCCAGCCTCAGAATTTAACCACAGAAACAGTCCTGGCTCTACTGCTCAAGGAAATGGTCTCCAGTCTCACACCAGCCTTTAAAATGACCCAAAAAAGTCATTTTAAATCTATTCACCAAACAGAGGCTTCCCGAAACCACAGGCAGAGAAACTCAACATTCAGTTATAGAAATAGAGGCTAACGTGAGGTCTCCTTCTGGTCCCCAAACTGGGACTGAGACACACGAAGATTTACAGTCATTCATAAAAATAGGTGAATTCTTCCACCTAGAAATGGACCATCTAATAGGATATGGAGAAACACTCTGGGTGCTTGGGTGGGATAATACTTAAACTTTTATTAATGGCCAAGGAAGAAATCTAATGTTTATTAGATACCTGAATATATCAGCCTGGCTCTAGGAGATTTTCAGAACTTATTTTAACTAATTCCTATTTTAGAGCTAAAGAAGCAGCCTCAGAAAAGTCACAGTTAAATACTTAAGTTTCTTCATTTCTGCCCTAGAAAATGCATTGTACGTGAGCACGGAAGAAACCCTGGGGTGAACGTGAACTCAGCTATGATCCTGGTTTTGAGCTGATGTTTAATCATTTGGAGCCACATGGCAGCACTCAAATCCCTGGTGCCCAGGTCATACATTTAGAGCTTCCAGGCAGTTCTCATCATGATGATGAAATACACATCGGTGTCAGTGGAAGCGCTCACCCCAGCATAGTAGTTCATAAACTCCTCGGGGGTCACCTACAGTGGAAAAGTAAGAAACGAAAACAAAACTTTGCTTCTCACCATTTCAGTGGAGGCCCATCTCCAGGACCTGTAAATGGGAGGGAAATTTCAGTCAAGGAGGCTTTTTAGGGACACAGCTGAGGAACAGATCTAGAACAAGAGAAAAAGTGAGGTTGACGATGGAGTGAGGGGGTGGCCGAGGGGGAGAGGGGAAGAAAGTCTTGAAAATTTCCAAACCAACCTAAATGGAAAGTGAGATACAGGTCTTGTCTTCCTTTAAGAGCAGAAGCCCATCTGTTCACGTAAGCAAGGCTGAAACTCAGAATAAGAAACAAGTTTTCTTTAACCACAGTGAATACCATCTTTCTGTGACACGTCAGAAACATCACCTCATGTCCTTGTGTCAAGACAAGAAATGTTTTACCTTTCAAAAAATGGAGCTCGGTCTTATGGGTAAGGAAACAGATTTCTTGTTAAACACTCCTTGGCTTCATGCTTTTTTAAGATACATATTACTCATTCTAGGCACAGAGGAAGTTAAAAAGATACCCCCTGCTCCATGCCCCCTTGGGTTCTCTCTTCTCCCATGCCTGTTTCAACTAATATTTTTATCTGTGCTAGGGTTTTACTTTACTTTCCTTCCAGAAAAAAGAAAAAACTGTTACCAATTTATTCTTTAAGAGGTGGAGGTGAAACGTACACTCTAATTCAACCATATTGGCTAACACAATTGGTTGATTGAGGGAAATAATTGTCCTCTGGTTTGATCTCTATAACCAGTGAATGTAGCCCCAAGTATAGACTTGCTTATATGGGAGAATGCAGACACAATAATGATGGCTGTTTTGGAAATTTATTGTTTTTCTAGTTAGCCCTCAAATTTCAGTGTCATGAGAGATTGAAAACATCATCACAAAAAGTGAAATCCGTAAACAATTCAAAACCCCTTTCTAGTCCATAACAGCAAACTCCTCTCCCACCGAGTCTTTGGGAACACAGCTATCTCTTCCAAGAATCACATAAGCTGAACGACCCACTTACTTTTTTTGCTGAAATTATAAGTGAACAGAGAAAAAAGTCTCAGGATCCACAGTTCCCTCCCTGTACTGACCTCTTCCACCTGTCTGTCCCCCCAAAATAGCAAAAAGTAGTAGGAAGAAAGGCGTTGAATGGAGCTACTAATTGAGCTGCGCTTATCAGTGTCTGGAAGTAGAATTAAATAATATATGTACATAGCTTTGGTAAAAATTAGAATACCATTAATGTCTCTTTTCTTGCATTTCTTTATTTCTGTCCTCCTTTGCATTCCCCGGTTATCCAACCTTAAGCTCCATCTGGAGTTCCTTTATACTGACAGTTCCTTGTGCACTTAAAATGATTCAACGTGGAAAAGTGTGAATCGCATATCACTTTTCAGAAACATTTTCATTATGTCTATTAAATGGAATATCCCTGTAAAGTCCTTGGCACAATGGCTGGGAGACAGTAAGCACTCAATAAATATCCCTTAGATTCATAATTATGCTAAATGAGGTTCCTGTGCATAATAAATCAGGCACTTCTGGATCTTTTAGAGGCAAGGATCTCAAATACAAATGTGAATAAGAGTCATTTGGGATACTTATTAAAACTGTAAATCCTTGAGCTTCAACCGTTCCTCCCACGCCCAGCCAAAAAGAATCAGACTCTGCAGTTCTTCAGGGTAGCCAGCAACCTGCATTATGAATCCATTCCCCAGATGGTGAGCATGCACAGAGCTGGGGATTTATCCAGGGTCTGTGAAATTCAGGTGACATCAAATGCTGTAACTGCTAAAAACCCCAGTAACCCTTACAAGTATTTGAGAACCTAATGTGGCTTGCGAAGGTAAATGTCAAAAGAAATGGGGTGAGAGCTTTAAATCAACTGAATCACAACAACTGGCTACTTTGACTTGGGTTAGAGAAAAGGGCAGCTGAGGTTTCCCCAGCAACGAGGAGGAACCACCTGCAGAAAAGAGGTAAATACACCCTGGGATCCCATGTAGAGTTGGGCTAATTTGGGGAAATGGCAGTTGACTCTTTTTCCACTGCCATCTCAGAGATCAAAGGGCAGCCATATGGGAAGAAAACATACGGTTCTGCTGTTTCTGTCCCTACGCGTTTGGCTGCCCAACAGAATCTAGGCTCCTTTTTTATCCACCTCTGCAATCACTTCAGGCTAAAATGAAGGGTATTTCTCTGTCCCTGGCAGGAAAATGTCAGCAGAAAGGACAGAAAGATCTCCTTCCTACCCTCTTCTCCCCTCACTCATAGGACTCACCACGAAGTTTCACGGAAAAAAAAAAATTGGGGGAAATTCCCTTCAGGATGAGAAGGCTTGTTTCTTTCTACCATCTCTGCTTCCAGCTCACTGTCCCACTAAATCCTTCCTGTGTGGCCAAGGGGTCAGGAGTAACCTTCCCCAGGGATCTGCTGCCTCAGCCACGCAGAGAACTCCCTTCCCCATAACCATAACCTTCAGGACACCTCAGGGCAGAACTGATCTTGGGTTAAAAATCCCATTTCTGGGCTTCCCTGGTGGCGCAGTGGTTGAGAGTCTGCCTGCCAATGCAGGGGACACGGGTTCGTGCCCCGGTCCGGGAGGATCCCACATGCCGCGGAGCGGCTGGGCCCGTGAGCCTTGGCCGCTGAGCCTGCGCGTCCGGAGCCTGTGTTCCGCAACGGGAGAGGACACAACAGTGAGAGGCCCGCGTACCGAAAAAAAAAAAAAAATCCCATTTCTGGCTGTTGATAAAAGACAGAGGACATTTCCATCTGAGCCTAGACACAGTTATGGAGGAATAATTCCTTACCCTACCAAGTGACACATCTGTAACTTGAAGACACCAGTTATTGGAGATGCGTGGTTGATTTTGTCCTTAAGTTCACTGGAGTTTAGAAATGTGAGTTCATCTCAAAGCCCACCAAAGATTAAATCAAAGTGAATTCTGTTATCTGGCATTCCCTTTACTGAACACTTCCCTGAAATGGCATTTCCATGTAGCAAAGTGTGATGACAAATGATGCTCGTAAGGGTGTATGAAAAAGGCATGCAGCATCCTGAAATGCTCTGTGAATCATGTTCTCTAACATTGAATTATGGTCTCATTTTGAAGTTAAATGTATGTTATTATCATCAAATTCCCTGGAATTAGGCTAGCTGTGTATGGTACATACGGCAACCATGAAATAGAACATTTAACCAAAATACCACAGTCTTCAGGTGATGGGTATTTAGCTATATGTGGTTCCCCTACCAATATATGTGCGCACACACACACACACACACACACACATTTTTACTACTTTTGTTCTCAGCTTTCTAGATAGTCACCAAGGAAACATTTTACTTCTATTTATAAAAAATATGGTATAAGTATTTTTAAGGTTTTGGGCCTGTTTCCCATTTACACTTACAGATTGGATAGAAGAAATTTCACTAGATTAAGCTCTTTCACTCACCACTCCATCTTTGTCATAGGGTGAGTCAAAGTTATCCAGAAATTTCCGGAACACTTGCTCCTCTGTCCATTCTCTGTTTTGGTACTTCGGGTGGTGTTTTGCACTGTACACCTCACGAAGGTCTTCAATTGTTATCACGCCATCTCCAGTCTTGTCATTACCTCTTTTCTGGCTCTGGACATTGGAGGCTAGATACGTAGGAAAAAAACACATACACAGACATACACAAGCAGATGAGCTTTTCCTGTATCATCTGTGATGAAATATTTTATTCCTTTCAGTGACGTGCAATTGTTTGTGTGCTGCTAAAGGCTGTGCATTATGACTGCTCCAAAAGATCCCTGAGCCTGCACTCGGTCTCCTGCCAGCCTCCCCCATGGTGTGCTAACAGCTTCTGAAAACCAAGCCTCACAACAGCCAACCCAAACCACTCGAAAGCCAAACCCAGTAGATACGGTGATTCATGGGACCACTTACTCTTAATGCGAGAAGAAATTCATTAAAGTCTATTTTTCCATTTCCATCTTTATCAAACCTCTGGAAAAGCTCTTCTGCCTCTTCCTTTTCCATGACCACAGCATAATCATTTAACCCTTTCACAAATTCTTTGAAATCAAGGGTTCTGTTGTTATTGTCATCCATAATTCGAAACACTCTGAAGATAAAACACACATACAAAAGAAGAAGAAAAAACACAGAGAACAAGGTGTAAGAATAAAGATTTCAGAAGAAAACCACTCTCAAGGCTTTTCTGAAGTAAAAGACAAGTCTTAGACTCTTCTCTGTACCCTCCTCCCAAATTTGGTGAGCCTCTTCCCAGTCTCTCAGAAAAGAAAACAAACCTTTAAAAATATACTGTATGATTCTAATTATATGACATTCTGAAAAAGGCAAAACTTATAAAGGTGGTAAAAAGACGAAGGGAAGGGGAGAAAGATTAGGTGAAGCACAGGGGATTTTGAGGGCAGTGAAACTACTCTGTATGATACTATAAAGGGAGATACAGGACATGCATTTGCTAAAGCCCATAGAACCTCACAGTACAAAGAGTGCACTTTAACGTGTACATTAAAATTAGTGAGGAGTTCAGGGGATCCCAGGAAGGAATGCAGACCGTGACAAGAGAATCTAACTGTTGTTTAAAAGTTTGAGGCAATCTCACTGAAGGGGGATGGGGAGATGAAGATGCTGACTTAAGTAACTCTGGAAGCGAGTAGAGTTTGTAAGACTAAAGACGAAAAGAACTGCACTTAACCTCTGTACTCTAGTTGACAAAGGTATTTCCTGTGGAGATATGAGTTAACAATTATCATATTGCTATACGGGTACCATAGCACTGAACAATTAAATGAATGGCTGGTGGATGGTGGGAGCCTGGCTTCTCGCTGTTGGAATGGGGATTTATAGCTAAGCTAGGGCAGTAAGCTAGAAGGATCTGATCCATGTGGTAGAGGATTGAGTTGGAGACATCAGTATGAACTCATGTTATAAACATAGATGATTAATATATAATGTATACATGATTACATACATATATACATATAGATACATACACGGGTTAGTATAAACACATATATTTCCTTGTTCTAGCTAAGAGGACCTGGAAGTAACAACCCAGTAAGAACCAGCACATCTAGAGCCTAGATCTTGGTTTCTAATACAATTCTCCAGTAAAAGTATCTGACTTTCTTGGAGAAATCTCTGATTCTAGAATTGGGGCAGGAAGTATGCAAGATGAGACTGGAGTACCTTATACCAGAAAGTAAGGGGAAAAAAACTCTACACTGATGGGGATACATCAAAGGGACACAGAAGCCAACTGAAGAGCTCCCAAGGCCAAAACTGGAACAATTTGAGCAATAAGTAGTGTTCAATTATAAACCAAAGTATAAAATGAATATCCATGAGTTAATATTGGTTTAAGTAAATGATTGAATAAATACATGTGAGAGGAGAGACGTTTCTCCTGCAGAAGAATTTCAAATAAATTATGTTCATTCTCTGTCCTGAAGGAGCAAAGCCTACTCCCCACACCCTAAGTAGGACTCTGCATAGAGACTTCCCTTTAAAGAGTGCAACATGGAAAGGCAGCGGGGAGAGTAACTCTACACGGGAGAAGCCAGACAGGCACTGCCTCAGCCAGGTGACCAAGGTCAACTTCAGTAGGGATAAGCCATGTTGATAGTACGCATGCATCCGTGATGTGACATGATGAAAATGGCACTCTACTTCTGTGGTCCTCAAAGAAACAAAATCCCAGTCTAATAATAAGAAAAAAAGGGGGAAGGGGCAGCCAACCCTTGAGTTGAGGAGAAATTTAGGAAAGCGCAGGGCCAGTAAAGGCGAGGTGGCAGAGGGCACGTTCAAGCAAACGGCCAAGGATGAGACGGTGTCTGTTCACGGTGGGAGGGCTGGTAAGGGTGTGGGGTGGAGATGGCATAGATGGCAGGAGGCATTCAGTTGAATGGGCCAGGAAGTGGACCGTGGGTGGTGGTCATGAAGGGTTTGCACCGAGGACAAGAATGTGGCCCCAGGATGAAAGAGGTAGAGGGTGGAGTGATACAATATTAAAGGGAAGTGGACTGGTCTTCCAGTTGGACTGTGACAGCCTGGCTACAGCCTGGGCTTCTGACAGAGCTCAGCTTGGTCTGAGATTTGGGGGACTGTGGAAAGTGACATTCCAGAGCTCAGTAGAAGTGAAGCCTGCCGCAGCCTCCAGAAGGGAGGTTGGAGGCCCCTGGCGTGGCATCCTGCATTTCCCTAACATATAACTCTCACACCAGGAGGATTCCCATTTTTGTGGCTCAAAGTGTCCTGAGTCTAAGTCCTCCATGAGTCCAGCGGAAGCCTTGTTCACCCATGAATCCCCCAAGATGTCACGATGCCTGGCACATGGCAGGCACTGGATTTAGTCTGTTGGAAAGAGATAATGCTCAGGACCTGCCCTCGGGAGGCTTACAATCTCTTTCCACTCGGGTTTCTCAGTCCTGAGGTCTACTCCCACTCTCAGAGAGCCAGGAACAGAAGCTGTTCTCCTATGGAGCTGTGGGAATCCCATGGGCAGTGAGCTGTTGATTATCTGACAGGCAATTCCGAAGCCCCTGGAAGTGATGGAGACACCATTGCTGCAAGTGGAACTCCAAAACCTGCAACTGCATCTAAATCAGTATTCCTTCCTCCTTCTTCTAATTCGGCCCCTAATTTCTTTAAGATTAGAGAACTTTCCATATTTATTCACACCAAACCTCTGACCCTAAGCTCAGTGAACACTTCTATAGCATATCCATTTCCTTTTCTGGGCATGCAGAAGGCATTTCTCAGCCTCTCCTGAACCCTGCTGGGAGTTTGGGGTTAGTAGGTGCAAACTATTACATGTAGAATGGATAAACAACAAGGTCCTAGTGTATAACATAGAGAACTATTTCCAATCTCCTGGGATAATTTGGCCCCTATTGCCACAGTTTTAGGGAGTGTTTCTCTCATTGCCCTGCTAGGTGTCTCTAATACCTAGACACGCTTCTACCTTCACCTCAAGTTGTCCCAGTAGCTGCACTTAAGAACCAAAAATTGTCACAGGGGACCTCAGAGATGAGTGCTTCCAAACTCTGCATTTTACAAACAAGGAGCTGAGAACCCAGGAGGAAGTGAGTGAGTGCCCGAGGCCACACAGCCAGAATTCGCCTCATCTGGCTGCACCCTGCTTTTCTCCTCCATCTTCCCACCACCCACAGGCCAGGTCCTACCTGCCAAGTTCTTTGATGCCCGCGGAGCCCCTGGCTAGGCACTGCAGGCGGAGCCTTTCGATGGGGTCAGTGGCCGTGGTGAGTTTCTGCTTGGCCTGGATCGCCATCTCTCGGTCGTGGCGTGCCGTCCCCGCCATCTGAGAGGGAATCCATTCGAGTCAGCGGGGCTCAGGCCTCCTCGCCTGCCTCTGACAGGGCAGGGTGACCACAGCCTCGCTGAGAAGGAAATTCACAGCACGCTCTCTCATCCACTTCACCAGAACCTTCTCAAACCTCCCAGAATTTCCAACTTTCAGCTACACCAACTATGTCCTGTCATATTTATTCCTTGCTTGTCTAGTCCTGAGAACCTCTGATCTCTGGCCTGGACAATAGTTTTAAACATACAGCCATCCCCGATACACTTTCATCTTTCAGAAGCACTCCTCCCGCCATAAAAAATAAGTCTCATTTCACCAAACTCTTTTTGAGCCAATCTTATATGCTTCATTCTTTTATTTAGAATTTTCCATATTCCCTTTGACTCCAGGTTTAATATTCTCCTTTTTTGGTCTAAAGATTAATTTTTGTTGCTTCTGTCTTCACTGAGATTCTCAGTATTGGGCCTTGATGGTTCCTACCAGTAATTAGTATGTTTTCTTGTATTAATTGGTTAGTGCCCATTAACACCTAACTAGGTTCTCAGGACAGAAAAAAGGTAAGTAGACTCTCTCTCGTGAAGAATAGGTATATCATTTTTCTACAGTTTGGCTTTTGTGTTTTAAATATTCAGAAATAAGAGAGGATAGATGCAGGGAAGCAGCACCCCCTGCGAGGTCTCTTGAGCAACGGAACGAACTGTACTGACCCTGCAGCCGGGCTGGGGCTCTGAGAACACGCACAACGGTGGAAAAGCCACACGCTGGGAGCCTAGAGACCCGGGATCTAGGCCTGATGGCAACGCACTCCCGGTGAGGTCGGAACAAATCTCAGGGCTTCCGATTCCTCCTCTGTTAAATGAAAGGATTGGATTAAATGACCTTTAAATTCCAGCCCTGCTCCAGGAACACTAATCTTCTTATGAGCCCACTGACCCAGTAAATGGGGGATTCTAGAAATTTCTTTTTTAGGGTGAGCTGTGAATGAGAGGAGCAAGAGGGCTTGACGGATGTGCAAAAGAACAGCATTCGGGGTGCAGAAAGAACTGGTGTTAGAAGGCTTCTGCCACTGACTCCGAGGCTCCCCTCTCCCCCCAGCCCCCCACGTGCTGGCTCTTCATCCATCAGCGATGGCAACCCTCACGCGCTCGAAGGCTGCTGCCTCCAGTACAATCCATAAGGTCTCCCCACAAAGTTCTCGTTATTTAGAGAGAGGGAATCTCAGACTGAAAGCCGAGGCCAGAGCAGATGGTTCGGGGAAGCACAGCCACCCGGCGGTTCCCTCCTCCTTGCCTTTCTCAGGGATGAAAAGGGGAGCGGCTCTTCTCAGGGCTCTCGGACGCCAGGCCGAGAAGAGGGCTTTGCCTGTCTAGGCCCCAGCGCTTTGCTCCACATCGGGGAAAAAATTGCTCCGCCTGAAGTTACGTGAACCGTTCTTTGCTTCCTCCAGCCCTGAAAGCAGAGGTTCCCGGAATTCCAGAGATGGGTTGCCTTTCCGGCAGCACTAACTTCCTTAAAACCTGAGTTCGCCTGTTACTGCTTTGTCACCTGATCTCAAGGTGACAATTCCCAGAGCTTGTCCCCAGCTTCCAGCCCTGACTCCACCCCACAGAATCCCTCAGCTGCACGCAGAATCCTGTGCTCGGGATTCACGCGCGAGGCCACCGGTTCGCTGTCCGGCCATCTTCCACTCCCGCCCTCGTGGTCCTGGCCTGAGGCATCCCTGGTCCTGACCCTCTTCGGCAACCAGCCCCGGCCCTCCCCTCCCACTGTAAGAGCAGCAACTAGGGACGCAGCCCTCACGTGCCCTGCTCATCCTCTAAATACACCGGGGACCTTGTGTCTTTCCTGCCCCTCCCCTCTCTCAGCGCCACTTGCTCACTCGTTGTCCCAGCCACTCTCCTCCACATCCTTGTTTCCGCTGCCTCTCCCCTGCCTTTCCCACCCTCCTCTACCTGCCCTGATTTCCCACACCAGCCACAGCAGCAGAAAGGGAGTGGAGAGGGTGGAAGAAAGTGAGGTCTGCCTCCCGGATCCGAGAGACAGGGCCAGAGAAAGAAGCCCTCTTTGAAAGCCTTCAGGATAATGTTAACAACTTCAATCGCTAACATTTGTCTGCTCCCACTGTGTGGTAAGCACACATCCAATCCTCACAAAAACCCTCTGAGCTGAATTGAAAATAGGGACTCTGTTCACAGCAGCACCATTCACAAGAGCCAAAGGGTGGAAACAACACAAATGTCCACCCATGGACAAATGGATGAACAGAATGCCGTGCGTCCCTACAGAGAAATATTATTCAGCCACGAAAAGGAAGGAAGTACTGATAGTGGATGAACCTCAAAAACGTGATGCTCAGTGAAAGAAACCAGACATAAAATGTCACATATTGTATGATTCCACTAAGTCCCCTACATCCGAACAAGTTCTGTTCCAAGAGCGCTTCGTAAGTCCAATTTGTTCATAAGTCCAACAAAGCTAGCCTAGGTACCCAACTAGCGGTACTATAGTTAGTACTGCACTGTATACTAGTTAGTACTATTGGCTATATAGTACTGCACTGTAATAGGTTTACAATACTCTTCACACAAATAATCCATACATAAAAAACAAACACTAAAAATAAAACTTTTTTAATCTTACAGTACAGTACCTTGAAAAGTACAGTAGTACAAACAACGGGCGGCATACAGGGGCTGGCATGCACGTTCACATCTTTGAAAGTTCGCAACTTGGAGGTTCGTATGTAGGGGACTTACTGTATATGAGCTCTCCAGAAGAGGCAAATTCAGAGACAGAACACAGATGGGTTGCTGCCGAGGCCTAGGAGGAGGGGGCAATGGGGAGTGACTGTTCAATGGGGACAGGCTTTCCTTTTGGAGCGATGGCACCGTATAGCTGGTGGTTGCACAACAGAATGACTGAACGGTACACTTTTTAATGGCTGATTTTATCATATGTGAATTTCATCTCAATTTTTAAAAACGCTATGAGCTAATTACTCCTATGATTCATAGTTCACAGATAAAGAAATTGACAAGCACAAGAATCAGGCGATTTGTCCAGGTCCCACGGTCAGTGTGGCTCACAGAAATTCACCATTAGGACTGTAGGACCCTGAAAGGTCATCGAGTGCCACCCCTGCCTCTGGCGACTTGAAAACTAGGGCTTGTGTTGGTCAAGGAACTTGCCCCCAAATCCTGGCCAACAGTGAAACTCAGGGCTTCAGACCAAGCAGGGCTCTTTGTACTCCACCACCTTTGTGAACTACTACAGAAGCATCTCAGAGCACAATGTGATAGCACCCACGCAGAGGAGAGCAGGGTGGAGTCCTGGAAAGCACCCCACCTGACCCATCTCTGCAGCCGACCCTACCCAGTGACCATGCAGCAGTTACCTCTGGAGTCTAATCTGATATATCCAGGAAAAACTTACATTCTCTCCTGCCACCCAGCCTATCATGGTACTTGAAATGCCCGTGTTAACTACCCTTTTTAATCATTTAATGACCCAGTTCATCAACAAATAGCTAATAGTTATCATGTGATATTTTCAAGGCACCAGTTGGAGCAGATTACTCCAAGAAGCAAGCCCTTGAATGAATAGCTTAGAATCGTAAACTTGAGTACTTAAGTCCCCTAGTTAAGCAAGGCAGGAAACATAAAATTTGCTAAGAACTGGGGGCTTTGGAAGAAGGAAGGATGGGGTAGGGTTTTGGTGAAGAAAGGCCATAGTCAGAGTTTCTGAAGTTTGCATGAGGGCACCAGGGAAAGAGCCTGTTCCCAAACATATGTCACAGGTATCACAGCACTGAACAACCGTCCCTGATTCCAGAAGACCCTCTCTGAGCACGGAGGAGCCCGAGTGATGACATCAGAGCTCATCCAGGCGGGCCTGCGCAAAGCAGGAAGGCGGCTGCCCTCCGATGCACGTGGCTGCAGCGCCACCTCGTGTTGGCACCGCGTCTGCGCAGGTCCCTGGGTCAGGCGCCAGTTCGGTCCATTCCTTCAACAGACGTCTAATCAGTGCGGGGCGCTGTGCTAGGAGTCGGGGGAAGAGGGAGAAAGACAGACAACGCTTACAGCAATCCCACAGCTGAGCCGCGGCAGCTCAGGAGAGGCGGCTAAGCAGCTTCCTCAAGGTTTGTCTGAGGAGGAGCTGATGTCTAACCTTTAATCCTAAAGGAGGTGGAGGTCGTCCAGGTGAGGGTCGCGGGGATAGGAGAAGGGAGAGCACGATTTCCCAACTGCTAAGGCCAAAGTGAGAGAGAAAGGAGTATAACGAGAGAAACGCAAGTATTTTAGTCTGACTGAAGAATAGGGGTGTATGTAGGGGCGGGGGTGAGATAGAGCCGTGGAGGCTGGGAGGAAATTTGGAAAGTGGAAATTCGGAGAAACGTGAAACTGGGCAGGTAGGTCAGCAGGCATCAGATCCTCAAGATGCTGAGACATCATGGTAGCGAGTCTGGATTCTGTACTGAAAGCAGCAGGAGACCACAAAGGGTTTCAAGTAAGAGGGCGACAATTTGTACTGTAAAAGACCCCTCTGGATAAAGTGTGGAAAATGAACAGGAGGGTGGGACAGGCTGACCAGTGGGAGGTGAAACCACGCTCGTGACAACGAGGTGAGAGGTCATGCTGCCTCGAAGAAGGTATTGGCTGTGGGGACAGAGAAGATAAAGAGATCCGAGATGGAGAGTAACTGCCCGGGCAGCGAAGGGAGAGAGGTCCCAGGGGTCCACCCAGAGCTCTTGCTTACCGCTCCCCATACCCACCCCCGTGAGGCAGAGACCTGGAGATTTGGGGGCACAGGCCGAGTGGAGCCGCCGGCAGCAAAGTCAAAGGAGACTTTGCGGCAATGGGCACCAGGCCTCCTTGCTTTGGACCGGGTTAAGGCTCCGTCATCCCACTGTCCTGGCGCGCAGCTGCCTGCCGCTGCCAAAGCTCTCTGCCTGGTTTTCGAGAATCGTGTGGAATGGGTTATGGAAAGCTGAACATGCA